ATGAAATTTCAGAAAAAGAAATGAAGAAAAACAATTATTTTTGCAATTGCAACAAAAAGAGTAAAATACCCAGGAACAAATTTAACAAAGGATGTGAAGGACCTATATACTGAAAACTACAAGCCAATAAAATGGAAAGACATTCCATGTTCATGGACTGCAAGAATCAGCACAGTTAAAATGTTCATGTTACCTAAAGCAATACACAGATGTAATGTCATACCCACCAAAATCCCAATGCCATTTTAAAAAAAAATAGAACAAAAATATCATCACATTGGTATGGAACCACAAAAGACCCCAAATAGCCAAAGCAATCCTAAGAAAAGAGAATGAGAGTCAGGGACTCAGACAAAAGTATCACACGCCCTGATTTCAAATTATACTACAGAGCTATGATAATCAAAACAGCATGGTTTTGCAGGAGAACAGACAGATCAATAGAATAGAACTGAGAGCCGAGAAATAAACCCACATGTATAACGGCAAATAAGTTTTGACAAATGAGCCAAAAACACACAACGGAGTAAAGAAAGCCTTTTAAATAAATGGCACTGGGAAAACTGGAAAGCCACAAGCAAAAGAATGAACCTATATAGTTTGTCCCCATGTACAAAAAATTAATTCAAGATAGATCAAAGATCTAAATATAACATCTGAAACAATAAATTACATAGAAGAAAACATAGGTACTACACTCATACATCTCGGTCTTTGACAAGATTTTATGAACTTGACCCCAAAGACAAAGGAAGTAAAGGCAAAAATAAATGAATGAGACTATATCAAACTCAAAAGCTACCGCACAGCAAAAGAAACTACCACCACCACCACCAACAAAAAATTTCAACCAACCACATGGGGGATGATATTTGCAAACAACAGCTCCAACATGGGTTTAATAACCAAAATATATTTTTTAAAAAACCTCATACAACTCAACACCAAAGAAATAAATAATACAATTTAAAAATAGGCAGAGGACCTGAAGAGACACTTCTCCCAAAAAGATATACAAATGGCCAACAGATATACAAAAAGATGCTCAGTCTAACAAGCTATTAGGGAAATGCAAATGAAAACTTCAATGAGATTCCACCTCACACTTCTTAGAATGGCCATTATCAACAAGACAAGCAATAACAAGTGTTGAAGAGGTTGTGAAGAAAAGAAGGAACTCTCATTCACTACTGGTGGGAATATGAACTGGCACAGCCACTATGGAAAACAGTATGGAGGCCCCTCAAAAAATTAAGAACAGAATTACCATATGACCCACAATCCCTCTCCTGGCTATCTACGCTAAAAGCTTGAAAACATTTACTCACAAAGATATATGCACTCCTACGTTCACTGCAGCACTATTCATGGTGGTCAAGATGAGGAAACAACAGAAGAGTCCTTCACTAGATGACTGGATAAAGATGCAGTACACACATGCAATGGAATTCTACTCAGCCATAAGGAAAGATGAAATGCTGCCATTTGCTACATGGATGGACCTTGAGAAAAGCTAAATAAGTCAGTCAGAAAAAAAGCTAAAAACCATATGATTTCGCTTATATGTGGGATATAAAACTGAAATTCATAGACACAAACAACAGTATGACCATTACCAGAGGGAAGCGGGGCTGGAAGGGTAGTAAAGAGAATCAAATATATGGTGACTGAAGATGATCTGACTTTGGGTGGTGGGCACACAATGCAATATACTGATAATGTAACATAGAAATTTATACTTGAAACCTACATAATCCTATTAACCAAATTATCACCCTATTAAATTTAATTTAAAAAAAAATTTCTTAAAGCTAAGCAAAATTGCCTGCTAAGACTCTAACGGAAAAAATTTTTGAAAAAGTTCTAAGTCTGAGCTCTAGGCTCAGTCCAAAAATTGGAAAGCACAAAACGGAGAGGCCAAAAGAGACCAAAAAAAGGGCTAAGCAGAAAACCAGAAAAAGTTCAGAGTCCTGGAAACTAAGTGAATTAAGTACATCAAATAGGAATGTGAAGAGATGAACAAAGAAATGGACTAGAAGTTGACTGTTGGAGTTGGCAAGATGGACATCGCTAGGGACTTTGAAATAAAAGCTTCATGGAATGACTTAATTTATAATCCAAGAATTGAACTTGGCAGGAAATGTGACATCCAAAATGAGATTCATTTATTCAATAAATGCTTACTGAATGTTTATTGGTGTCAGACACACTACATGCTGGGAATGTCATAGTGAACAAACCAAAGAAAAACCCCTGTCCTCGTGGAGCTCACATTCTAGTAAAATGTTTAGCCATTTCTTCAACGGAAAAACTATTATCAGTATTTTGCTTCATTTGAAATGTTGCGTTACATAAATCAGTTTATGAATTTCTGATTCACCATTTCAGCTCAAGAATAAAGTGGAAGATAATTTTGAGTAAGTACGAATGTATACTAATGTTAAATGGTAAGTAACGGTAAATAATTATATCAAGTGATTTAGTGGCAGCACTTTAATATCACTGAAATACCCACTGATGGACGAAGTAAGAAGTAATAGTGTTAAATGTGTTCCATATACTATATTCTACATTTTATCCTAGTAAAAACTTTAACATGGTAGTCTACCGGACTTTGTCCAAGGATTATTTACTGGGAGTCTCTGACAGGTCTCCTTAAATAACCATTCATGATATTTTGATACATGGATCATGAAGAGAGAACTGATCCAAGTACCCAAACCTGACTAACTTTAAAAAAGTAAGCTTTTCTGGAGCAAAACAATGTTCCTACACTCAAGAAACTTACTACCTAGCAGGATGAAGTGACACATTCTCAATTCAACAAATATTTATTAAGTGGCTATTATGTGGCAACCAATACAATAATTAAGGAGCCTAACACAGACTATAACTACCTTTAATGCTAAATAATTTGTTAAGGACAAAAAGTACTGCATCTTTGAAAAGAGTGGAGATTTTGGTGAGTTACAGCAATGGTTCTCAACTGGGAGCTATTTTGTAGGCCTAGGGAACATTTAGCAATTTCCCAGAAACCTTTTAAATCATGACTGAAGGTGGGGGGAGTCCACTGGCATCTAGTGGGTATATGTCAGGGATGCTGCTAAATACCTTACATTGGACAGTTCAGACCACCCCTCACCCCCAACAATAAAGACATTTATCTGGTCCAAACCATCAATAGTGTCTCTACTGAAAAACTCTAGGCTAGAGTAATCAGGAAATGATTCAGGTATAATGAGTTGGATTCTGAGTTGGCCTTTAATCATGAGGATGTGTAGAAAGGTAGAATAATAGAAGTAAACGTATAAAGGCAAGAAGGAGCCTGCTTTAACTGAATGTTGTAGGTATTGAAAAAGGGTTTGACATGAAGAAATTTATTTGAATCCAATGGAAATATGCATTGAAAAATTCAACAGGATATAAAGTGACTGGGTAGTTGGAAGCCAAATTATATAAAAACTAGATAAAGGTACTGGGAATACAAGAAGCAGGTATTAAAAAATTGTTTTAATTTAAGCATTTGCCCTAAAAATTAATGTAGTAAGTTGCAAGACTGCTTAAAGAGCAGCAACCATGTCTTATTAATAACTCTGTCTTAAGTCACTGTTCTGTAAATAGTGTGTGCTAAGTGCTTATTAAATTAAATGCAATTTTCCAGTTAATTATTGACAAGTATTACTGGTGCTCTCTAAAGTTCCATCTATTGTTAGTATTCAGGACATTCATTTAAACAAACAAAAAAAAAAAGGTATCATTTAGTAGGTGACTACTATATAAAGGCATTGTAGTAGGCCCACTAAACATATTTTTTAATTTAATCACAAGCAGAATGTGTTTTGCTCTTTAAAGATGACGGTACTTGGACTCAACAAGCTTACTTAAGTAACTTGTCCCTGATTTCACTCAGCTAGAAAGTGGCAGATATAAGATTGAACCCTTTTCTAGTCTTAACCCAAATCTGCGAGCTTCAGTGATATGCTGTGAGGAAGGATTAAAAAAGCAAAAACTGACACCTACCATTCACAATTAAAATATACATACAAACAAACCAAAAATCTATATATATAATCACATACACGCACACAACTCTACTTCTTTACTATAGTAATTAGTAAATTCTGCTTTAAGGAATTTGGACATGGTATTCGGCTTCCTTTCCACCCCACACGTGTGGGCCAAGGAAGTTCCTTAACTGCATTCAAATCACACCAAAATTCTCTTCCCAGAAACTCAGTCCTGTAGCTATTACCCTTAAACCAGAAAAACATAAAAATCTAACCTGTTGAAGTGGTCTGATCAGTACCTACTACCAATGATTCAGGGAGGGGAAAAGAAAGCATTTCAAATTCGAAAAAAATTAGTATTTTCAGATTCAAGGTCCTTGTCCATACTTCTTAAAGTACAGAAACCTACTCTAAAACAGGCAGCCCAGTGTCTCAGGACCTCTATTCGGCCTCAGCAGTTGCCAAGTATTCCATTTTCAGCACTTCCTACGTTTTTAAGAGTCTACCTTGAAACAGGAGCTCTCTCCTCCCATTAGAGCTACAAAGTAGATTTTTAAATCCTTTAGGAAACCTACCCTAAAACATTCACTTAGTTTCAGACGCTTAACATCTGTCCAGAGAAACACTTTATTATAAGGCTTACAATCCTACACTAGTCTAGATACCCGTCAGCCCTCAGCTCTATTCTTCCAGAAGCACCGTCCCACAACCAGGGGCTACACCAGCTGTTCCTCTGAAGCTCCCTACAGCCACCCTTTAAGCAGTTCTTCCCAAGCCCACGGGTCCAGCTCAAAGCCCATTTCGCACCCTGAGTCCCATTTGTCTCAAAGAGGATGCGCCAAGCCCGCAGCCTCCCCCGAACTCTTAAGGTTGGAGCCTCAGTGCAGGGACAAGGCTTGTCCCCGGCCCAAGAGTCCAGGAGGTATGCAGAGAGCAGGCAGAGTACACTTGCAGTTCGGGGGCGGGGGCACAGGGAGCGGCAGAAGCACTTACCAACATCCTGATCGAAGGGATTGGTGGCAAAGAGAGGCATCTCCACGGCGTGCCGAGGTGTCCGTAGGGACTCCCCGTCGACACCACCGGAGTCAGGGTGCGACGGAGGAACGATGACTCTTCAGGCAAAAACAACAACACACACGGACTCTACAGGGTCCACGACAGGTTCTCGCCTCACCAAACCGCAGCAACCGCGGCAGCGGCGGCAGCCACAGCAAAGGAGCCGAAAAGGCCCCCCGCGTGGAGCCTGTCGGGAATCTGGGCGCCCTCAGAGCTGCCTGACCAGAATCTGCTCAGAACCTGCCCCACCAAAACAGGCCCAACCAAAGCGCCCCCTCCTCCCTACTCCTCAGTTCATTAGTCACGCTAGAGAGTAGCAGCAATGCCTGCGTTTTCTGCTTTTTCCTTGGCCGGCACCCTCCGGTGGACGGGGTCCTGAAGGCGCGCCGAAGCCGACTACCAATCCCAGGAGTGAATCAGAGACTAAGAGAAAGGGTCACGTTTGTGTTGAGTGGGACTCTTTTCCACTCGCCTCTCTCTGTAGGTTGTCAGATTTTGGTAGTTCTTGTGGAGGGGGGTGGGACCTCCTTTATTTGGAGTTATCTAGGTAAAAAAGGCTATGAGTAATGTGCTGTCTAAGGTGACAAGAAACTTGCTTGAGTGAAGTCATGTGAGCTGAACGATTGGCTGGAATCCCAGAAGAGGGGAGTGTCAGGGCGCGCTCCTTGGGAGAGAGCTGGAGTAATGCTGGCATCTTCCTGAGCGTCCCTGAACGCCCGGCTTCAGAATCTGTCGAAAGCACTCCTAGTTGGGCGTTGGTTAGTAGTGACTAACTGTGCAGTCACTAAGCAGTTGTGATGGTTGGAAAATAAGTCTCACAACCCAAGAAATCTCCCCCTAAAGTGAGCAAAAAAGAAAACTGAAAAATTGGAACGAGCAATTGATTAGCGATTCCTAACCACTAATAATGTTTATTTAGTAATTTTGTTTATTTAACAAAAACCCTCTACGTCACGTAGAAATTTTAAGGAACATCTATTGGATTTTGCGTCCCACCTGAAACAAAGAGCATCTTGCATGTGAATAGAAAATATGTAAACTATGTCCCAAAATAAAATACTTCCAAAACTAGAATTTACAAAGTGTCGACAACAGTATTAATATTAGTGGTATACAAAGTGTACTTACAAAACTCCATTAAGGAGGAAGTTCCTTTTCTAAAAGTAAAAATGCAAATTAAAGTAGCATTTAGATACATTTTTGTCATTCAGACAAAGAATGGAAAGAATCAGGAATGTGGGGAATCATACACTCACATTGTTGAATTAAATGTAAATTACTATATTCTTCCTAAAAGAAGCATTTGGAAGTGTGTAACCAAAACTTTTAAAAATGTGAACACCTTGGGACCCAGTAAGTGTACTTTCTGGGAATTTATCCTAAAGTCATTCCTTAAGAACATGTAGAGATAATTCATAGCAACATTGCTTATATTATCAAAGCATTGTTAACCACTAAGATGTCCAATATTAAGAACTTAAACAAATAACTTCATTTCTTGGTGCCCCAGTTTCCTCTTCTATAAGAAAACAGGAGAAATAATATTGTTGTGGAGATCAAATGTATTAATACAAGTGAAAATCTTAGGTGCCTAACATAGTAAGCAATAAATAAGTATAAGCAATGGTTATAATTAGTACTGGTCAAGTAAATTACAATACATACGTTGTAAAAACTCCACAGCTATTATAGGTGATAACATACATCTATATTTACATAGAAAGAGATCTAAATACATAAGTTTTTTAAAGCAGGTTATGAGGGAAAAAAGCATGCAGAGTTACAAAATGACCCAGATTTTTAAAATCTGAAATACATGAGAATATTATGACATGATCCTCTCTCAGTAGTAAGATTGGAGATAGGTTTTAGTTCTTTATGCATTTTATATTTTCCAAATATTTTAATAATATGCCTATTTCAAAAGCAGGAGGGGAAAAGTAAAAACACAACAATGTAAAAAAAAATGTAGTATGTTTTGCTACTGGTTCATTTTGAAGAGCCAGTACCAAAAACTTGCTTGTGTTTCATTAAGACAGTATAAAATTCTTCCAGAACATCATTATTGGTCTGTGAACTAGAGCATTCTCTCTCAAAAACCGGTTCTTGATGACTAGGCTGAAAGAATCAGGTGACAACTTGTCCACCTCAGGTTCCTAAGCAGAGTTCGGGGCACATGATTATAATCACACTGTATCACACCCAAATGGAAATGCATTTGGATGTGTTTTGTGGTTCAGTAATGAGACTAAATTTTTCTGTTGCCAGAAATAAGCTATTGATCAAACTCTTCAAGCCTTAATTATCATCACCATGTGAGCACTGGGAACAGTGAAGGAATAACAACTTTTAGTCTTGATAACATTATCTATATATTCTGACCTAGAAGGATGAATTTAGCTATTTGGGACCTTTATGATTAATATGCTATGAATAATAAATATTTTTAAAATGTAAAATTTTTAATGCTATTATGTTTAATATAAAAAGTGAATTGGGTTCTTATTTTGAGGTTAGTTTTTAATTATTATCCTTTAAAACATTGCATCTGCAGGGGTTTCACTTTGAGTATTTCCATAGTTTTGAAAACACTGTTGGGACTATCAGTTTCAGATTCAAATGTTTCTGTAATATGTGTTCACTAAATTCTGTGGTTAATTTAAAATGCCAAATCCCTTTGTTTGATTTTGAAAATTCTTACAAATTAAAAAAGATAGAAACATGCAAATGGAGTTACCCTAGGAGAAATACATAATTTTAAGGTTTAGGGGGGAAATGTCCTGGGAAGATTATTAACACTACTTTAGTTGACACCCTCATCATCTCTTAGATGAATTATTACATTCACCTCCTACTATGTTTTTCTCCTTTCTTACTGTTATGGACTAAATTGTGTCCTCCCCAAATTCATATATTGATATTCATAATATCAATGTGATAATATTTGGAGATGGGGACTTTGGTGGATAATCAAGTAATTAGGTTTAGATGAGGTCAGGAGGGTGGGGCCCTCTGATGGGATTAGTGCCCTTATAAGAAAAAACACCAGGGAGCTTGATCTCTCTCCTCTCCGTCTTGTGAGCACACAGGAGAAGGCAGCTTTGCCTGCAAGCCAGGATGAGAGTTATCACCAGAATCTAACCACGCAGGCACTCTGCTCTGGGTCCAGCCTCCAGAACTACAAAAGAAATAAATTTCTGTTGTTTAAGCCACACATCTATTATCATATCTTATGGCAGTCAAACTGAGCAATCCACCTACCTGTCTCTAAACCATTCTCCAGACCTCTGCTGGAATTATTTTTCTAGGATATAAATCTGATCATGTTATTCCTATGAAATTTTTACATAGTTCTTCAGTCAGCCAGCCAGTCAGTCATTCAATACATATTTATTAACTCCTTATGTGTGCCAGGTACCATTTTAGATGCTAGAAACATAGAAAATAAAAGCTCTATGTGAAATAAGCTTCTTTGGAGTATGGCCTATGGGAAATACAGTCATTATGTAAATAATTAAATTAACTGTATGGTTACAAGTGTGCAAATTAGTCTCCTGCCTTCAAGATTAAATTCTAATTATTTAGTATTACGTCCTTACGGAACTGGCTCCTGAGTACCTCATCTCCTCACAATTTTTCTCCATACGCTCTATTTCAGCTTTTCTAATGTCCCCATATTTTCAGTGGCTTCAGACAAGCAACTCTTTCTACCTTTCCTGCTCTGATTCTCTGCCTTCTCTAAACCTCCACTCATACTTCATTTTTCAAAAGCTATTCCTGACCCAGTACCTGAGCAGTACTAGACATGTAATAAATACTTGTTCATTCTTGATTATTGGTCACCTCTATCACAGCGTGTAATGGTATTATATTTGTTCTGGGTGTCCTTTACTACATAAAATTCACTCCAAACTTGGTATCTTAGGGTAATAATAATAATTTATTTTGCTTACAAATGGGAAATGTGCTCAGAGCTCTGCAAGCACAGCTTGCCTTTTTCCCACAATGTCAGTGGAGTGGCTCAAAGGCTGGGATGACTATACCTGGTGCTGTGATCTTTTGAAAACTTACACACTTAACATGTCTGGCAATTGATGCTGGCAGTTGGCTGGATCATTAGGGTTGTCAGCCAAAACAACCACATGAGGCCTCCTATGTGTCTTCTTCGTTCCTCCTAGCATAGTAGACTGAGCATTTCAAGAGACAAAAAAAGGAAACTACCATTTAAGATCTGAGCTAGCAAATGGGCACAGCATCATTTAGTCATAGTGTATTGGACAAGAAGCCACAGTGTCTACACTCAAGGAAAAGAACTAAATCTCATCTCTTTGTGGAAACAGTTTAAAGAATTTGAGAGCCATATGTGAAAGCTACCACAATACTGTAACTTTTAGTCTGTGACTCATTTATCTCTATATTTCTGAGCTTTCCACAGTAGATGTTCCATAAATACTTGTTAAATGTAGTAAATAACTATGACATGATTAAAATGGCATACTATCTTTACCAGTCATATGGGAGTAACAAGATCTGGATTTATCTTTTCACCATAACTAAATAGAACACTGGACAAAATACATAAAACAATTAATTTCAAACATGGGACGACAGATTGTGATCTCAAGGAGAAAAGAAACATGCAATAAACCCTATGACTGCTGTAGCATTATGTCTAGAGTCATTTTCTGAACTGTGCCATATGCATGGGAAACTCAAAAAGAACCAGAAGGTCCTATTGTATAAAAAGATAAAAGTCAGAGTTTGGGTTGCAGGCAACACTTTGTGGCAGATGATCAAAACTGTCTGACACAATTTGAACCTTCCTATAGCAACAAAGTCTAACCTATTGAAGTGCTCTCTCCTCTATGAGACAAACTGTTATATAGACTTAGTGTAAAAAAATAATGAAATAAAAATCAGAGTTTGGGGAAGACAAAGGGCTAGAATATGCAGGACAGAATACTAGGAGGGTGCTGTCATCCAGAGGAAGTGCTCCAAAAACCTGCACAGGCCTTCCTTTGAGACTATGGCTGAATGCTAATCTAGTCATGGATAGGGTAAAACTCTCCAAGTCTGAGTAAAGAACTTTGAGGGCAAGAGGTATCACCAAAGAAGAAAACTCTAAAAAGTCCCAAGAATTCATGCAAGTCTGGAAATCATTTGAGTTATCTAAGCCAGAGAAAAGATACCTAATCGAATATCCTGGGTATTTAGTCAATACCCACAAAGGGTAATGGCTTAGTAGTGGGGAGTAGCCCGAGAGAAAAACTACTCTAGATCTTCTTTAAAAAAAAAAGCTTAAAAACGTTACTGTTAAAATCAAAATGGATACACATAACTAACTTATATGAAATTTAAAGTAGAACAAAGTATGAAATTTAAAAGGAATACTCTCACACTGAAAAAAATATATAGCACTCAAAAATGTAAAATTCTACAATGGTTAGACTCCAATAAAAAGTTACTGAACATATGAAGGGCCAGGAAAATGTGACCAATAACCAGGTGGGGAATCAGTCCTTAGAAGTAAACCTAGAAATTAAAGAGATGATTGAACTAACACATAAGAATATATAAAGAGCTATTGTAACTAAGTCAATATGCTTGAAGAGATTACAAACAGATGAGCATAATTAAGAGAGAAATAAAAGATATAAAAAGAAGCAAATGGAAATTCTAGAGATTAAAGTATAATATCTAAGATGAAACTCACTAAATATGATCAACAGATTAAACACTATGAAAGATAAATAAATTTGAACATACAGCAACAGGATGTCTACAAATTGAAGCACACAGAAGAAAAAAATTAACTGAACCTCAATGACATGTACAAAAATATAAAGCAGTGTAATATATGTGTGGAGTTGCAAAGCAAGTGAAAAAAATGTGGAAGTAAAAATATTTTTTAAATGCCTAAATTTCCCCAATTTTAATGAAAACTATATTCCCACAAATCTGAGAATATAAATGAACCCAAACCATAATTAACAATAAAAAATGCCATCAAAGCACAGCATGATAAAATTGTTGCAAATCACTGATAAAGACAAAATCTTAAAATAAAAATACAAATTACAGTAGACATCTAATCAAACTACAAAAAATAAAAAATAACAGTGGAACAGCACCTATAAAGTCTGAACTTAAAAATTGTCAACCAAGAATTCTCCATTAGCAAAACATGTTTCAAAAATGAAGGTGATGTCCCTGTTTTGGGTAGAGTTGCACCTGGTTTGATGGTGCTTTTCTCATATCAGCCAGAGACAAAGTAACTCCTGTTTATCCCACCTTGGCTTTTGGTCTGTGCTCATGCCAGGTTCATGGGCTGGACACATGGGGAAAAAAGTGAAGGTGAAATCATAAATTACATACAAAAAATATCATCACCCACAGACCTATACAATAAGAAATGTCAATACATACAAAGTAACTTCTTCAAAGTAACTTCTTCAGACAAAAGAACTATAGTATCTATGATATTAATCCTCACATAGTCATGAGAGCATCAGACTGATAATGCATTTCTACTCGTTTTAAAATTTCTTTTTTAAAAAAACACTTTATTTTTAGAGAGAGGGGAAGGGAGGGAGAGAGGGAGAAAAGCATCACTGTGTGGTTGTCTCTCATGCGCCCCCTCCTGGGGACCTGGTCCAAAACTCAGGCATGTGCCCTGACTGAGAATCAAACCGGTTACCCTTCAGTTCATAGGCCGGCACTCAGTCCACTGAGCAACAACAACCAGAGTAAGTTTCCTGAGATTACAAAGGGGTAGGAGCACCAGTGGCACAATTGGTTAGCGTGTGGTATTTATGCAAATGGATATGACGACCCTGGGAGGGGGAGGGGTGGTTGATGGGCTATCTTCATTGTTTTGACAGTAGTGATAGTTTCATGGCTCTATCTATATATATAAATATGTCAACACTTATCAAACTGTACAATTTAAATATGCACAGATTATTGTGTGCCCATTATACCCTAATAAAGCTGTTAAAATAACCATCATTTATATCCTTTGCAACAATTTATAGATTTGATGAAAAATCTTTGATGATCACTTAAAGATATGAGTGAAGATAAAAATATTTGAAAACAATAGCTTCGGCCCTTTCCGTAACAACCAGACTGCTTCACCCCCCATCCTCTCCTAACAGGCAATACTGGATTAGCTGCTGCCTCTGACTAACATGGTTTAACATCTTTTGTAGCGCAGGATGGACCAATCTGCATAATAGCAGGATCTATAAATAGGCCTCCCACAGCAAACATAGTGTTATAATAAACATCAATTTCCTTGATTTATTATAGCTTAATTCATGACTTCCACTTTTTACCCCTTTCTTATTATAATGATCATATATCTTCTTTAACCTAACAACTGCCAAGACTGGGTAAATGGATTAGCAACACTCACCAGCTGGTCAGGGTTTAGGGTGATTCCACTTACTCAGTTTGCAGCTGGTGTAGCCAGAAGGGTCTTTAGAATTGAAGACCTCACCAAGGAATCTACTCCTCTCTAGCATTTATCATTCAAAGACTTTTCGGATACTTTCATGGATATTAAAATAAGCCACAGGTTTTCAAAACAGATAACTCCAGTTCTGAAGGTAATTCAAAGTTTTTGGACACAATGAAAAATGCATGTGCTTACTGTAGGAAAATTTACAAGAAAAAAACAATCTTCATTCTCGAGTTCCCTGTGCTGTGTGTGTGTCTATGTAGAAAATGTTCCCCAAAGGAGCATTTAAAATATTAATTTTTATATTGTGTTTAATCTAACATGTTAATGTTTATAATAGCATATGTGTGTGTTTTGTTTCCTTTTCATGATCAATTTTGCAAGGTACAAAATGATTCTTCAGGAATGAAGTTATTATTTATAACAATACATCTGCAGATTTATTGTTACTCACAAAGATTTGACTTTCAACTGTCAAACTAGAACCAAATCTATATAGATTCTGTTTTAGAGGAGATTCTAGATAAACTCTAGGTGAGGACATCACTGTGCCTCCATTTTCACATCAATGAGAAATTAAATTAATGCCACCTCCAAATCACAGTGCTCAATTTATCATTTTGTAGATTAATACCCCTGTGTTTAGGGGTTTCTCACTCTTCACATTTCAGTTCTCATTATCTCTCTTTGTGTTTACTTTGAATTGTACTTCCATTATGTAACTTCTGCTGCATTTCACACTTTCCTCCTGAATCCACCAGTTATCACATTTATCCCAACTATGATACTGACGAATAGAAAACTGGTTAAAATTAATTTTTTTCTCTTAATGGTATTACTTCGCATTAATGTTATTGTTCTTACCTAGTCAAGTGTTATCCCTTTGTGCTAAAAACATGCTTTACAGATCACTAACATCACTAACACAAGTCACTAACCCTCTCTGATTTCAAGATTTATCATAGAGCTATGGCAATCCAGATAGTATGGTCCCGGGGTAAAGATAGACAAATAGATGAATGGAACAGAATAGATATTTCAGAAATACCTCTCTATATATATGGACACTGATTTTTGACAAAGGTACAAAAGCAATTCAGTGGAGAAAGGATGGGTTTTCTACAAATTATGTTTGAACACTTGGATAAGTATAAGCAAAAAATACGAACTTCGGCCTACATCTCATACCATATACAAAAATGATCTCAAATGGATCATTGGCCTAAATGTAGAACTTCAAATTATTAATCTTCCACCAAAAAAACTGGACAAAATCTTTTGTGGCTTTGGATTTGGCAAAGGTTCTTAGATATGACTTTAAAAATACAATCTGTCAAAGAAAAATGTTAACTGAACTTCAGCAAAATTAAGACCTTCTACTTTTGAAAGACATCATTAAAAGAATGAAAAGCCACCCACAAACTGAGAAAAAATATTTGCCAATCATATATCTGATAAAGGACTTGTATCTGGAATGTATAAAGTACTCTCAAAACTTAATAACACAATTGTACACTAATAAAATTGGTGAGAGATTTGAACAGTCTCTCAAGCAAAGAAAATACGCAATTGATAAATAAGCACATGAAAAGAAGCTCAGCATCATTATTCATTAGAAAAATGAAAATTAAAACCACAATAAGATAGCACAACATACTTGTTAGAATATGTAAAGTTTCAAACACTGACCATACCAAGTATTGGCCTAGATGTGGAACAGCAGAAACTCTCATATGTATCTAGTGAGAATGTAAGATGGTACAACCACTTTGGAAAACACTTTGGCAGTTTCTTAAAAACCTCAGAAATATACCTACCTACCATGTGACCCAGTCAAACCACTCCTAAGTGTTTATTTAAGGAAAATGAAAGCATATATTTATACAAAGACTTGTCAACAAATGTTCATAGATGCCTAATCTATAACTGGAAAAAAACCCCAAATGTCTAAATATGAATGGATAAGCAAATTGTGGCATATCCATACAATGGGATACTTACTGCTCAGCAATAAAAAAAAGTGAATTATTGATACACACCATATCATGGATTAATCTTTAATTCTGCACCAGCTACATAATTTGTGAGACATGGTGCAAAATGAAAATATGGGTCCCCTTGCTCAGATTATTAAGAATTTAAAAACAGTGACAATAGAGCATTAAACTGTCAGGCCCTTGTATGCACAGCTCCCATGCCAGGAAGCTGAACCTGCTCAAAATAATTAAACTGGGTGAAATAAGCCAAACAGAAAAGAGTGTATATTCTGTGACTTCATTTATATAAAATTATTGAAACTGCAAACTAACTGTAGTGATGAAAAGCTGATCAGTGATTGCCCGGTGGACATTTGGAGGATGGGATGGGATAGGAGAAAAGGATTAAAAAGTAGCACAGGTAAACTTTTGGGGATAATGGATATGTTCACTATTTTGATTGTGGTGAAGTTTTCAGAGATGATACATATGTCCTAACTTACTAATTTATACATTTAAAATACATGCATTTTACCATATGTTACCTATACCTCAATAAAACTGTTAAAATTGCAAAACTGGTCTTTGAAAAGGATTTTTAAAAATACAGTTCATTGTCTATAATATGCAATTCTTCCCCACAGACAAAACATACACAAGCGTACGTTAAGTAAAAGCAGAGGACAATCTATAATTAACTACTGAAATGAATGATATTTTACCAACACAAACTGTTTCAGCTGGAGGAAAAAAGCATCTAGGATGAGCTGGAGTGGTCAGGGAAAGCCAGTTGAAAGATTTGGTATTGAATGCAGCCTTGAAGAGTGAATCAGACTTATACACACAAGAAAGACAAAAGGATGGTAAGAATGGAGAATTGGGTTAGTTTATGGACAATGAATATACCTGATTGGTTGGATCATACTATTTTGGTAACAGGTACTTACTAAGAAATAATGTCTTGTTGGCTCCCTTGGGCTCAGGTTATAGTAGAGAGCCCAGAAGGTAATGCTAAAACCCAGTTTTTATCCTAAATGCTGGGGCTAATACATATAGATTGATAAAAGATGCTTTCAGAAGTCAAACCCTCTTTACTTTCAATTAGGTTACCTGCATCAATTTTCTTTTCTCTACCTCAAAATACCTCTCCAGTTCCCTTATTCCTATCTGAAAAAGAAGTGTCTTTTCTCTTTTAAATCTAATTTCTCCACTTTATCTTCCTAATTCTTTACTCTTCCACTGTCAGAGGATCTTGCTTCATAAAAGACTGTTTCACGTAAACAATCTCTCCCTATTTTATAGCACCTTTGCTTCAACAAATAAACAAAAACTTATTTTTGACTCCATTTTGCCTCAAGATAACTTCTTATTGATTCCCCTCTTCATGCTGAAACTGAACACCAACCTAGCTCTGGCCTTTATTCTCTCCTAAACTGCTGAACTTATTTCCTGCATAACCCCCACCTCTGCCCCCATCTATGCCAATCTATCAATACACCATTGCCAAACCTTTGAAAAGAGGTTTCTTTAATATGGTTTTCTTTCTGACAAGTCTTCAGAAGTTTACCACTGCCTTTTAACATAGATGAAAGAGAAAAGAAACATGAATCCCTGATAGCATCAGAGTCCTGCTGAGTGATTTCTGGACTTTGTGTAGGGGAAAAAAAAATCAACCCTTTACTTGTATGTCATTTTTGATAGATTTTCTTCTGCTTTCAGAAGAGCACATTCCTAACTGATATAAATATTAATGAACACCGATTTCATATCTCATACTCAAATTTTGTGAGAGTGGTTCTCAACATATTTCTATTGTTTTTCTCCTAATACTTCTAAGATGTAGTCAAATTGCACTATGTAGTGTTCCTCAAAACGATTTGTTTTCCTGCCCTTCTGTTTATG